AATATGCTTTAATATAGTCTGCTTTTATTTTCAGTAATCTGGAAGCAGAGACTAACTTCCCCACAGTGAGTGCCTGAAAGAGAAACTTATAAGTAAGGGGAAGAATATGCCCAGCTACACCAGCTGGCCTGCACCCGAAAGACTCTGCAGAAGACTCTGGAGTAAGACCCAGCAACCACAAGGGGGAAGCAAAGTAGCTGACAAAAGGAGGTGGTCCACAGAGAGCCTCAGATCAGCCAACTACCTAAGGACACCAGAGCCAAACCTAGACAGCTTCTGACATTGGCTGATACACAAGTACCTCCCAGGAGAACTGAAATCAGCATACAAATCAGTGACCCTCAGACAACATAAGCTGCCCAGATGAAACTCAGCTGACTGACTTTTTAAATTTTTTCTTAGCAAAAAGAGAGAAAAGAAAAAAATTTCCTCTTTAAATTAAAAAAAATTTTTTTCAATTAATTAAAAAAATATATTGTTTAGCTTTGTTTTATTGTTTTGTTTATTTGCTTTGTTTTGTCTTTTGTTCTATTATCAAGATTTTCTTGATAGTCAGTTTAATTGCTGGGAAATGATCATTATAACCAATAAGTTTACTACTTTCCTCTATCGTTTCCCTATATCTCTTATTGGGCTCTCTTTGTGCCCTTGCTTTATCTCTCTCTCTCTCTCTTCTTGTTCCATTGGCATACCTTCTTTTTTCTTTTTCTCCCTTTTCTCTTCCTGTCTTTTTCTTTGTTTGTTTCTGTTTCTCTCTTTATTGTATTTAAAAAAAGTTTTTTTTATTTTCAACTATTTTCTATTCCTACACTCTACCCTTAATTTTTTGATTGCCCTTTTTTCAGAATCTTTTCTCTGCCCCCTTTATCTCCCAGTAGGGTCTCTATTTTTTATTTTTTATATTAGTTTATTTTTTATTTTTCGTTACTATTACCAATAATATAATTTTCTCTATATATATTTTGTTTGTTTGTTTGTTTGTTTGCTTTAGCATTTGTGATCTCACTTTGCTTTCCCAATTCTACTTCCACTTGGGATGTTTTAATTGTGATTGTCAAGATATTTTGTAAGATACTGCTTGTTTCCTGGCAGTTTGATTGGGTACTGTCTTGCTTTGCCAGCACCTGTACAACAGCTCACGTGATGTGGTTGGGGCTGAGACACACAGTTAACCAACCTGAGAGGAGAGTCCTTCCAAGAATGGGTCAACACCCTAGACCCAATCACAACAGCAGAGACCAAAGAACTCACAAAAGGGATACTCACAAAAGAGATACACATAGAGCAAAGAGCTCAGAATTACAAGAAAAACACCCCTCTGGGCTCCACTAAACATACACTACAAAATCCCACCCTACAAGGCTGGGAGACAGCAAATATATCTAATATACAGATACAAACACTAAGAGCCACCAAAATGGGGAGACAAAGAAACAATCCCAAAACTAAAGAATAGGGAAAATCACCAGAAAAAAACCCTGATAAGATGGAGTTAAGCAAGTTATCAGAAACAGAGTTCAGAGTAGTGGTTATAAAGATGCTCCAGGAAATTAATGAGAACAACAAAACACTTACTGGAAAGGTCGAGGAACTTAGTGAAAACATGAAAAAAGAGCTAAATACAATAAATAAGAATCAGGCAGAAATGAAGAATATTATATCTGATATCAAGAATATGCTGGAGGGTATTAAAAGCAGGCTAAATGAAGCAGAGGATAGAATAAGTGACTTAGAAGATAAGGTAGAAAAAGCCACTCAATCAGAGCAGCAAAAATAAAAAACACTTAAAAAGCATAAGGACAGTCTAAGGGAGCTTTGGGACAACATGAAGAGAAACAACATTCATATCATAGGGGTGCCAGAAGAGGTGGAAAGAGAGCAAGGGATAGAGAACTTGGTAAAGAAAATAATGACAGAAAATTTCCTACATTGGGGAGGGAAAAAGACACACAAGTTCAGGAAGCACAGAGGGTTCCAAACAAGAAGGACTCAAAGAGAACCATTCTAAGACACATCATAATTAAAAAGGCAAATGTCAAGGAAAAAGAGAATATTAAGGCCTGCAAGAGAGAGACAAGCAGTGACCTACAAGGGAACTCCCATAAGGCTGACAGCAGATTTCTCAACAGAAAGTCTTCAGGCAAGGAGGGAGTGGCAGGAAGTTCTCAAAGTAATGAAAAGCAAGAACATGCAACCAAGACTGCTTTATCCAGCAAGGCTATCATTTAAAATTGAAGGTGAAATTAAGAGCTTCCCAGACAAAAGAAGGCTGAAGGAGTTCAGTACCACTCAACCAGCACTGCAAGAAATGCTGAAAGGACTGCTTTAAGAAAAAAAAAGAAATATTAAGAGAAAGGTACGTAAGAAGAAATACTGAGAGAAAAGCATGAAGCAGAAAAATGGAATTAAAAAGTATATATCAATATGACTTTAAATGTAAATGGAACAAAAGCTTTAATCAAAAAACATAAGGTAGCTGAATGGATAAGAAAACAGCACCCAAATATATGTTGTCTACAAGAGACCCACCTGAGAGCAAAAGATTAACACAGGCTTAAAGTGAAGGGATGGAAAAAAATAGTCCATGAAAATGGAAACAAAAAAACAAAAAGAGCAGCAATACTTATTTTTGACAAAATAGACTTCAAAATAAAGACCATAACAAGAGACAAAGATGGTCACTATATAATACTAAAGGGATCAATCTAACAGGAGGAAATAACCCTTATAAATATATATGCACCCAATATAGGAGCACTTAAATATATAAAAAATTTCTTGGTGGACTTTAAGGGGGAGATTGACAGCAACACAATCATAGTGTGGAACTTTAAGATCCCACTGTCATCACTGGACAGATCATTAAGACAAAAAACNTGGAACTTTAACATCCCACTGTCATCACTGGACAGATCATTAAGACAAAAAACCCACAGGGANTGGAACTTTAAGATCCCACTGTCATCACTGGACAGATCATTAAGACAAAAAACCCACAGGGAAACACAGACCTTAAATGACATACTAAATCTAATTGATTTAATTGACATTTACAGAACATTTCATCCCAGAGCAGCAGAATACACATTCTTCTCATGGGAACATGGGACATTCTCAAAAATAGACCACGTGTTAGGGCACAAAGCAAGTCCCTACAAATTCAAGAAGATTGAAATTATATCAAACATCTTTTCAGATCACAATGCCATGAAACTAGAAGTCAACCACTATAAAAAAACNGACATTCTCAAAAATAGACCACGTGTTAGGGCACAAAGCAAGTCCGTACAAATTCAAGAAGATTGAAATTATATCAAGCATCTTTTCAGATCACAATGCCATGAAACTAGAAATCAACCACTATAAAAAAACTCAAAAATATTCAAACACATGGAGAATAAATATCATGTTATTAAAAAATGAATGGGTTACCAATGAGATCAAGGAAGAAATCAAACACTTCTTGGAAAAAACCCAAAAATGAAAAGACAACTCAAAATCTCTGGGACACAGCAAAAGCAGTCTTGAGAGGAAAGTTCATAGCAGTACAGGCNCAAAATGAACAGACAACTCAAAATCTATGGGACACAGCAAAAGCAGCCCTGAGAGGAAAGTTCATAGCAGTACAGGCCTATCTTAAGACATAGGAAAAATCTCTACTAAACCATCTAACACAACAACTAAAAGAACTAGAATAAGAACAGTAAGAAAATCACTGAGAAAGTAGAAGGAAGGAAATAATAAAGNTACAGGCCTATCTTAAGACATAGGAAAAATCTCTACTAAACCATCTAACACAACAACTAAAAGAACTAGAACAAGAACAGTAAGAAAATCACTGAGAAAGTAGAAGGAAGGAAATAATAAAGATCAGAGCAGAAATTAATGACATGGAGACTAAAAAATCAATACAAAAAAATCTATAAAACCTAGCGCTGGTTCTTTGAAAAGATTAATAAGATTGATGCACCTTTAGCCAGACTCACCAAGAAACAAAGAGAGAGGACCCAAACAAATAAAATCAGAAATGAAAAAGGCGATATAACAACCAACCCAACAGAAATACGAAGGATTGTAAGAAAATACTATGAGCAACTATATGCCAACAAACTGGATAACCTTGGTGAAATGGATAAATTACTAGAAGTAAACAGTCTTCCAAAGCTGAATCAAAAAGAGGCAGTAAACCTGAATTGGCTGATGACAACTANCCTAGAAGCAAACAGTCTTCCAAAGCTGAATCAAAAAGAGCCAGTAAACCTGAATTGGCCAATGACAACTAGTGAAATTGAAGCAACAATCAAAAAACTCCCAGGAAACAAAAGTCCTAGTTCAGATGGAGTTACAGGCGAATTTTACCAAACATTCAAAGAAAAATAAACACCTATCTTCCTCAAACTANGCAATCAAAAAACTCCCAGGAAACAAAAGTCCTGGTTCAGATGGAGTTACAGGTGAATTTTACCAGACATTCAAAGAAAAATAAACACCTATCTTCCTCAAACTATTCCAGAAAGTTCAAGAGAGGGAAAACTCCCAAACTCTTTTTTATGAGGCCAGCATCATCCTAATCCCAAAACCAGATGAAGATACTACAAAGAAAGAAAATTACAGGACAATGTCCCTGATGAACATAGATGCTAAAATCTTCACTAAAATACTAGCAAGCTGGATCCAGCAGTACATTAAAAAGANTACTACAAAGAAAGAAAATTACAGGACAATGTCCCTGATGAACACAGATGCTAAAATCTTCACTAAAATACTAGCAAGCTGGATCCAGCAGTACATTAAAAAGATCATACGCCACAACCAAGTGGGATTTATTCTGGGGATGCAAGGCTGGTATTATATCTGCAAATCAATAAATGTGATGCATCACATAAAAAAAAAAAAGGACAAAAATCATATAATCATATCAATAGGTGCAAAAAAGCATTCAACAAAATCCAGTAACCATTTTGCTAAAAACTCTCAGCAAAGTGGGAATAGAAGGAACATACATCAACTTAATAAAGGCTATAACGGACAAACCTACAGCCAACATCACACTCAATGGGCAAAAACGAAAACCATTTCTGTTAAAAACAGGAACAAGACAGGGGTGTCCACTTTCACCCTCTTATTCAACATAGTACTAGAAGTCCTTGCCACAGCCATCAGTCAGGAAGAAAACATAAAAGGTATCCAAATTGGAAAGGAGAAAGTAAAACTGTCATTATTTGCAGATGACATGGTACTGTACATAGAAAACCCTAAAGAGTCCATCAAAGTGCTACTAGATTTGACAAATGAATTCGGCAAGGGAGCTGGATACAAATATAACATCCAAAAATTGATGTCATTTTTATACACCAACAATGAACTCTGAGGAAGAGAAACAAACAAACAAAAAACAATACCAATTACCATTGAAAATAAAAAAATAAGATACCTGGGGATAAACTTAACCAAGGATGCAAAAAACCTGTACTCGGAAANTAGCTGGATACAAATATAACATCCGAAAACTGATGTCATTTTTATACACCAACAATGAACTCTGAGGAAGAGAAACAAACAAAAAACAATACCAATTACCATTGAAAATAAAAAAATAAGATACCTGGGGATAAACTTAACCAAGGATGCAAAAGACCTGTACTCGGAAAACTAGAGGACACTGAAAAAAGAAATAGAAGAAGATATAAACAAGTGGAATAATATACCATGTTCATGGATTGGAAGATTTAATATCATTAAAATGTCCATACTACCCAAAGCAATCTATAGATTCAATGCAATTCCTATTAAAATACCAACAGCATATTTCACAGAACTAGAACAAATATTCCAAAAATTTATATGGAACCAAAAAAGACACCGAATAGCTGCAACCACCTTGAGAAAGAAGAACAGAGTGGGAGGGATCACTCTACCAGATATCAAACTGTATTACAAAGTCACTGAAATCAAAACAGCTTGGTATTGGTACAACAACAGGCATATAGATCAATGGAAAGAACACAGACTCCAGTAATAGACCCATGCAATTATGGTCCGTTAATATTTGACAAAGGAGGCAAGAGCATAGAATGGAGTAAAGACAGTCTCTTCAGTGAATTGTGCTGGAAAAATTGGACAGCTACATGCAAAAAAGTGAAACTAGATGACCAACTTTCACCATACACAAAAATAACCTCAATATGGATAAAAGACTTAAATGTCAGTAGCGAAACCATAAAATCCTGGAAAAAAACTTAGGCAGTAAAGTCACAGACATCTCACGTAGTGGACTTTTCACTGATACATCTCCTAGGGCAAGAGAAACAAAAGAAAAAATAAACATACGGGACTACATCAAACTTAAAAGCTTCTGCCCAGCCAAAGAAATCAGCCTCAAAATACAAAGGGACCCCACGGTCTGGGAAAACATATTTGCCAAGAATGTATCTGATAAGGGGCTAATTTCCAAAGTGTACAAAGAACTCATACTACTCAGCAAGAGGAAGACAAACAACCCAATTAAGAAATGGGCAAAGGACNCAAACAATCCAATTAAAAATGGGCAAAGGACCTAAATACACGTTTCTCCTAAGTAGGACATACGGATGGCCAAGAGACATATGAAAAAATGCTCAATGTCCCTATTCATCAGAGAACTGCAAATTAAAACCACAATGAGGTATCACTTCCCACCTGTCAGAGTGGCTCCATCAACAAATCAACAAACAACATGTGCTGGCGAGGGTGTGGAGAAAGGGGAACCCTAGTACACTGCTTGTGGGAATGCAGACTGGTACAGGCACTATGGGAGACAGTATGGAGGTTCCTCAAAAATTAAAAATGGGCCCAGCCGGGCATGGCTCAGTGGTTGAGCATCGAACTAAGGTCCAGGCAATTGGGTTCGATTCCCGGTCAGGGCACATGCCCAGGTTGTGGGCTCCATCCCCAGTTGGGGGAATGCAGGAGGCAGCCGATCAGTGACTCATCATTGATGTTTCTGTCTCTCTCTCTTCCTCTTCTTTCATCTCTCTGAAATCAATAAAGATATATTTTTAAAAAAAATTAAAAATGGGACTGCCTTTTGACCCAGTGATCCCACTTCTAATAATATATCCTAAGAATCCTGAAACATTAATCTGAAAGAACATATGCACACCTATGTTCATAGCAGTGCACTTTATAATAGCTAAGATCTGGAAACAGCCCAAGTGCCCATCAGTACATGAGTGGATAAAAAAGCTGTGGAACATTTACACCATGGAATACTATGCAGTTGTAAAGAAGGATCTCGTACCTTTGGGACAATATGGAAGGACGTGGAGAATATTATGCTAAGTGACATAAGCCAGGCAGAGAAAGACAAACATCACATGATCTCACTCATATGTGGAATCTAAGAACTTAAAAACTGGTGAACAGAATAGATTCAGTGACATGGAAGCATGGATGAGACTTACGATTCTCAGAGGAACAGAAGAGGGTGGGTGGATGCAGGGGAGGGATTAACTCAAGAATTTATATGCATATATGCACAACCCAAGGACACAGACAATGGTGTGGTGAGGGATTGAGGAGAGGGTGGTGGAAGGGGTCAATGGGGAGAAAAAGGGACATCTGTAATATTTTGAACAATAAAAAAATATTAATTTAATTTTAAAAAAATCATTGTTGAAGGTATTACAGATGTCTCCTTTTCTCCCTACACTGACCCCTCTCCTGCCTAGGCCTTCACTCCACTATTGTCTGTGTGGATGGGTTATGCATATATGCATCTAAATTCTTTGGTTAATCTCTTCCTCTCCTTTATCAGAGTAAAAGAAAGTCCTGTTCCTGGTTTTATTTTTGTAAGGAATGATTTCTAGATTCTTAGTTTACTAGGACTATTTTTCCCATGAATGCATGTTGAATTTCAACAAATACTTTTTCTGCATCTGTTGAAATACTTTTCTTATTTACTTAAAGGGGTTTTCTCCTTTAACCTTTGAATGTGGTCAATTACATTACTTTATTTTCTATATTTTAACCATCTTTGCATTGCTAGAATAAACCCAGCACTATGGGAGGGTTTATTTTATTGTTGATTCTATTACCGATGTTATGTAGGAATTCATAATCTACAGAGGGAACAAAAAGGAAAATTGCTGCATCCTCTCCCAACCATGTCGTCTTACAAAATCCGGACTTGGAGAGGAAGATTCAAGGAAGGCGTCTTCTGGGGAGAGGACGTGGCATGTGGGTGGGAGGAACTGGCTTAATGGGAATATCCCTTCTCCTCCTTGGAGGGGGATTTTGGGTCGTAAAATCAATAACTAACCTGGGAATGGTAAACAATGTTCTCACTTCTGAAGAAATCCTGATTTCCCCAAGCCCAGTCACTATCACATGTGCCAGATGCTTTAACAAATAGTTATTAGAAGAAGCCAGGAAAACTACCCCTGGCGCCCCCAGTAAGGAATTTATGGAGGAACCAGAGAAAGCTGAGCTCACACAGCCGCCGATCCTCCAGTGCCCCGCCTGTGACTGCAGGATTAGTTGAGGACAGGAAGAAGGCCATCGCCCCTCGCCTACTGTACAAGGACCACCCTGGGTAGCACGTAGAATAAATGGCAGATTGTGGCATCCCCCTAAAGGGGCTAACAGTGTGGAAAGGCCACCAGCCCCTCCTCTGCCTTACACAGGTGCTTCCAATGGGAACGGTATCAGAATAGTTACTGTAAACGGAAGGCACAGTCAGTGTGAGAACTTGCCCTTCACGAAACGCTTGGCAAGGAGGCGGCCACGCCGGTGCTCGCTCCCAAAGAAACAAAAGAAAAGCATTCTTAAGCAGTTAATCAATAGCTATGGCTAAAGGAACTCTGTTCTTAGATGAAAATGGCAAGAAGAATATAATAGCTTAAGAATAGGTCCATAGTTAAAATATAACCAGAAGAAGTAGTAACCACAGGCAAACATTATATAAAATTTCTGTCTCACAAACTAATATATTACTGCTGCAAACAAAGCCACATCTATCACTCTATAGGTCACTGATTTTTCCTTTCTCCTCTATTCTGAAAAATAAAAGTAAAAATTGTTCTGTTCTGATGAAATCGAAACTTGTATTGTTTAACCTGTGAATAATATTTCTTGCTTGCTAACCGAAAAAAGGTAATCGTAGCCAAAAAAGAAAGTATAAAAGATTATGTTGATTCTCAATAAAGTGGAACAGCGTCACACCACCTCCGAGTCGTGTAGTCTGCTGTCTCCCAGCGCCGACGCCTTGCCCACCTTCGGCCCCCTGACTCCCGCTGCGGCTGAACTGTGGCAGAAAATTTTATCAGGGAGATGCTCATAGGAGTTGTTAAACCTGCTAAATGTGACCTTACCATTCTGAATACCCACTGTCCCGGGAAATCTATGAAATGCGCCCATGGGATCTGAGCCCGTGCTTAAGATAAATACCAGGGGAGTGTTGTATGACGTCTTGATATAGAGTAGGCAGGTCCATAGGTGGTGTCTCTATAAAGCGTTTTCCAAGGTTTTTTTATTACAAAGTCTGGAAGAGCGAAAACCACCTGCAAGATGAAAAGAAAAACATTAAAAAAATGTGTTGCTTGAGTATCCTTCATAATTTTACCCTATTTCCCCCTCGGCTTCTCAGAGGTTGGTGCCCTGCCCTTTGAACTCATTCTTTCTTGATCAGGTATATTTCTTCCTATGGATCAATTTGGAGAAATTGTACCCCGCATAACCGCTGACAGCCATGGTTCTCCTGACTTCACTGAGCAGGATGAACTATTGGGTGAGAGGAACGTCCCTCATCCTTCCGTCTGTCTGTAAACCTGCTGTTTCCCCATCCTGCCTCCTTTGGTTCTATCCCTCCTGCATTCTCGTGGACTTTACTGTCAGCCCTTCCGTTTCTCTCTGCATTATTGATCTCTCCCTACCATCATACAATTTGGTTCTACTGTCTCCTATTCTTAAAACCCAATCCCGAGCCTTCCCTTGATTGTAGTCCCTTCCCAGCTGCTATTTCGTTTCATTGCTCCTCATTCACAAGCCAACTTCTCAGAAGAACTGACTGCATATATCATCTCACCATCTTTATCTCATTTACTCATCAGCGTCTCCTGACCTCTCTTGGGAACCAGCCTCAGGCCCTGCCTAGCCATTTTCTACACCAATGCGTTTCCTTCACTGATCTCACCCCAGCCAATGGACCCCTTTTCTGCTCTTGCAGATCATGTCTCTCTGTAGCCCATATGGAGCCTTTGTTTGAGATAGAAAGAGGTGTCCTTTTCCAAGATACTTGTGCCAGAAAACTGTCATGATAAATATACAAACCTAACCTACCATAGTTATGATGTGAATGGCTGCCTTAAAGGTGGTGCAGGGCACATCCTTCACAGCTGTAGGCAGCACCAGGGCTTTAATGTTAGCCCTCCATTAGGTGTTGACAGCACCCTGTCCAAACAAGTCTTACCACGTTTTTGTTGCTGTTTGGGGAGGAGAAGGTGGGACATCCCTACCCGGTTCAGGGTGAAGGATTTGGATGGCACCCCAATGTGGCCACACTGGGAAGAGATGTTCACATGCTTTCCCACTTCAGTGAGGCTATATTGTGGTGCTGACTGTAAAGGTAGCCTGGTCCAGAAGGCACAGCGCCTGCAGCAAGTCCAAGGGTTTGGAACTTTGTTCTAGCTGTGTCACTGTGTGATTAAATATAATTCCAGCATTAACTTCTTTATTATATTTATTTAAAATATTTTCAATAACATGAGCTATTTATTTGCTTTTACTTTTACAAAAAAGTGCTCATAGTGTTTACAGTAAATAACAGGATGAAGCATCAGTAACATTTTTTGGGGCTATTATGTAAATATAAAAGTGGAACACACTCATGAAATGCTTTTGAATTTAAACAGTTGGAGAAATCTAGGTTTCCAATGGCTTTATTAATGAAAGATCACAAACCATTTGGCTACATGTGCAATTCCTCATGTGTATGAACTGATTTTCTCTGTGAAATGTTTCAAACATGTAGAAAACAAGTTTGCATAAAACACACACTTGGTTAGGCTCTACTCTACATAATATATACCCAGCAATACATATATATATCCAAGAACATGGTCAAATACATAGAATCCGGAAAGGAGATGCATCAGGTAAATCAATAGAGCCAGGTCTCCTGTGGAATTAGCATGCAGTTTCCTGTCTTTAGATTTGCCATAGTGCTATTTGTGTCTCCAGTGGTAAGTAAGGTTCATGATTCCCAGGTGGAGGAAGAGGCCACACAATAGAGGTGAGTGTGTCTGCACACCAGCCCCTGGATGCGTGTCTCACCACCACGGATAACAGCTCAAACTAATCAGTTCATGGATAATAACTAGCTGGTGAGCTTTAGGAGAAATAGTTATAACACAGTCCTTTAGTTTAAAAAAATAACTTGCCTTTTCTTCTTTACAACATTTAATAAGGATTAGCTCATGGAAAGAGCTTAATTTTGAAAGCCACGAATCCTGGCTTGTGGCCTCGACTTCCTCTGTCATGAATTTCATTTCTTTCTTCATTTTGGGGCATGCTTCCAATTCTTGTGGGTTAATGTAAGTCTCAAAAATCCTGGAAACGTAATTTAAAAAGATGCCTTAATTAGAATTATTTTGACTTTGAAATTAAGTAAATATATTTGGTAATTTAAGCATGTCCATATTTACTATAAAAGTTTTCTATAAATGTAAATATACTAATCTCCCCCTCCCAAGCTTAATTAAAGAGCAAAGAATTTAAAACTGGATCAGAAAATAGTCAACAGAAAGCCATCTATGAAAAGCAAAGCTAAACAAATAACAGAGAAGTTAAAAATAAAAGGATGCACAGAAATACATCAATCAAATGTGAACAAAAAAGAAAACAAGGGGTAAGGGTAACATTGGATAAATAAGAATAAAAGGCTGATATGATGAAATGGGAAAAATCAGGCCAGTTTTATTGAAATACAGACCTCACAATAAGACACAATAACGTGAACCAATATGTTCCAGATACTAGCACAAGAAAATATCAATCACTGCTGGAGTTAGAGAAAAAAAGGAGAAAAAAAAAATTGTGGTAGGAAATAACACACCCTGATCAGTCTGTGACAGATGAGGCCAACTGAAACTTCTGGCTTACATAATTTGAACAATATAAATAACATATGACTAAATCGACATCTATACTACGTTATTCCCTGATAAGCATAATACACTGCTCCCCCTCCCCCACGGAGTGGTTATAAGACAAAGGCTTGCATTCCACGTGCCGGCTAGGATCCTACTTAGCCCTTACAAAGATTGTCAGGTTCACTGGTTCTCCAGTGATTTTCCTCCTCGCCCAGAGTATGATCTGAAGTCCTTTCCAAGGCCTGCAGGGTGCTTCAGGACCCTGAGGTTTCTGCCTCCTCTTCTGACCTCATCTCCTTCCATTCTGCCCTTACACACTCTCCTAGACATCAATCAGTCTGTGTTTCCAGAATAAAACTCAGAATCTTTACACCAGCATCTACTTTGGGGTCAGACAGATCTAGGTTTGAGTCCCAGGTTAAAGTACTTTCCCACTTTGTGGCCCCAGACCATGGGGTCTCTCTAAGCCTTTGTGTTTTCTATCTGCCTGGACTCACTGAAGGCAGGACTATTTCACCCATACAGTGTCTGGCAGTTACTGTTGAAAGACAGAAAATATATTAAAGATCCACATCAAAAAAATTTAAAAAAAATTCCTGATAGAAGGTCCTTACCTCCCACATTATCTGAAATAAAATCCTGGTTCCACCCTCAAACAACCATGACACCCCAGAAGCATTCCTTTACTTCTGTGTCTCAATTTCTTCTGTAAAATGAAGATTGTTTTCTATGGTTAAATAAATATCTCACTTGAAACAAGATTGGTGGCATAGTAAGCGCTTGCCAAATGTTACCATCATTATCAACTTCATCAAATCAGGATAGTGGTACCCCACTTTGGGTTTCTCAGTTTTGAGTGAGAAAATCGTGCTTTAAGCTTTATTGTTGGCAAAGAAAGAAAAACAGGAAACTCCTTCTGTGGTAGGGAGAAACAGAAATGAGAAATGCAAATCTGTGAATTCCTGCATTTCTGAACTGGGAAGGATGAGTTTGGTTCTGATTTTATCCATGAGGAAGTGTGGGAGGTAAGGTGTCTTTGAGCCTCATTTTAGAGTCTGTTTATTGAGAGTAGGACCAAGGCTGCAGGGGTTGCTATGGTCAAGATGCAGGTGAAAACTAACAGTTTTTGGAAGGCAAAAAGGAGGAGAATTTAGTTAGGAAAATGGTCAACAGGGTGTACATAAGTTTGGTGAGCAACACATCAAAGCAGTCAGCTGTGAGGCCCAAAGAAACTGAGTTTCTAATGAAACCGGCTTGCTTGCCTTAACAGATGCCTGCTGCACTTGGCACACAACCAGAAAGCTCCAGGCAGCCTGAAATCATGTAGGGGTGGGGAACGTTTTATGTGCCAAGGTCCATTTGGATATTTATAAAGTCATTCTCACACCATACAAAATCATCAACTTAAAAATGTCAGAGCAAATAATGAACATAATTGTACTGATTATTATATACAATTACTCTGCGTCCACCAGTATTCTAAACACTTTAAACAAACTGACTCTTTAATCTCACAACAGTCCTATGAGCAAAGTACTAGTACTTCCCTATTTACAAATGAAGATACTGAGGCACAGAGAGATTAAAAGCTTAAGGTCACACATCTAGTAAGTAGAAGAGACAGGATTTGAAACCCAGACATTTGGCTCCAGGCTATTTAGAGTTTGTTTATTAAAGGCTGCATATGATTCTATTATACAGATGTATCATATATTATTTAATCAATACCATATTGATCTACATTTATATTGTTTTCAGCAGTTTGCTACTACACACTCCTCCTAGTGTTTGCAGTGCCCAGGACAACAGTACAAATAGAGGCTCGCATACCACATGTTTAAACATTTAAAGTTATAAAACCAGCTAGCATACTGTTCAGTAAAATATATTCTATTCTTCTGCATGACAGGTATAATTTCATAACACATTAAAAAACGTGAAGAGGCGTGGTTTCTCTATTAAGTGAAACAGGGCCAAATATCACAGATGGCTATATTTGTGTTATGCAGGTTTAGGTGCTCTACTGGGAAGGTTTGAAAATGTCAAAATAAAGACATACCTGATTCATAAATTATTAGAAGTGCATTCTACAAATTATTTTTGTGCTTTCACTTAAGCATAATTACTAATTCTGTTGTTATGAACATTTTCACATAGCATGTTGTATAGATAGTTATGAGCTAAACAATTAAAAATGAAATGTAATTATATTCAAAGTGTACAAAATTTGATCACACAGTCTATTTTCTTTTTCAATTTTTAATGTATTTTATATTAACTTTATTCAGATGACATTGGTTAATAAAATTATATAGGTTTCAGGTGTACAATTTTATAACACCTCTGTATATTGCACTGTGTTCGCCTCCCCAAGTCAAGTCTCCTTCCGCCACCATTTATCCCTCCTTTACCCTCTCAACCTCCCCCACCCCCTTTCTCACTGGTAATCACCCTACTGTTGTCTGTGTCTATGAGGTTTTCTTCTTAATTCCTTCACTTATTTCACCCAGCCCCCAACTCTCCTCCCCTCTGACAGTTGTGAGTCTGCTCTCTATATCTAGGAGTCTGTTTTTATTTTGTTTGTTAATATTGTTTATTAGATTCCACATAGAGTGAAAGCATATGGTATTTGTCTTTCTCTGGCTGGCTTATTTCACTTAGCATAATGCTCTCCAGCTCCATCCATGCTGTGACAAAGGGTAAGATTTCCTTTTTTTCTTTTTTTATGGCCAAGTAGTATTCCATTGTGCAAATGTACCACAACTTTTTTTATCCACTCATCTATTGATGAACACTTGGGTCCTTCCAAATCTTGGCTATTGTAAATAATGCTACAGTGAAGGCAGAGGTGCGTATATTCTTTTAAACTAGTGTTTCAGGTTTCTTTGTGTATATTACCAGAAGTGGAATCATTGGTTCATAAAGCAGTTCTAGTTTTAATTTTTTTAAGGTAACTCCAGACTGTTTTCCACAGTGGCTGCAACAACCTACATTCCCATGAACAGTGCACAAGGGTTCTCTTTTCTTCACAGCCTCTCCAACTCTAGTTGTTTGCTGATTTATTGATGAAAGACAGGCACCTTCTTAAATATATTTTTAAAATTTATTTTAGAGAGAGAGGAAGGGAAAGAGAGAAACATCAATGTAAGAGAGAAACATTGACTGGTTGCCTCCCACACATGTCCCATCCGGGGATTGAACCAGCAACCTGGGCGTGTTCCCTGACCAGGAATAAAACCAGTGACCTTTCAGTGCACGGGATGATGCTCAGCCAACGGGGCCACACCAACCAGGGCAACAGGCCCTCTCTTAAAGGGCCAATGCACAAAACCTCATTTGCAGCCAGTCACCACAAGAGTAGTCAATTATTAGATCTCACACTGATTGTGCTCTACTGTNGTGCACAAAATCTCATTTGCAGCCAGACACCACAAGAGTAGTCAATTATTAGATCTCACACTGATTGTGCTCTACTCTGTGCTATGCACTATAAATACTAAGTGTCTCCTATATTGTTGCTGTGTTTTTCATTAAACCTCATTACA